ATAGTGTGTATATGTATTCCTCTCCATTGCATGTCGTGTTTAGTGCAAAATGAAGAGGAAAAAAGGACATTGCGTCCTACTTCTGGACAAGACAGATGAATAAGAATGAGGCAGACATTGAGACAGAGCCAGATGATGTTGGTGAGAGAGCTGAAGAGAAGCAAGTTAAGAGCACCACAGAGAGCGATCCAGAGGACTTGGGAGATGTTCAGAGAGAGGGCACAGAGATGGAAGGAGAGACGGATGAAGATCCTGAGAGTGAGGAAGCTGAGACTGCGATACAAGCAAAGTGTGCGTCACACACAGAGAATATATGTGCATCCACAAGTGCTGGACCAAGAGGTTTGTGATGTTGACAACAAAACAAAACATTTGTTTGTTAATGTTTATTTAACAGGGACGATACAGACAACATTGCCTTTAAAAATGGGAAAATGTGATACAAGACATCTAGCTTCAGCTAATTTGCAGTCTTAGAATACATAGCGCTTTAGAATACAATGAAAGAATGTACTGATTACAATAAAAATACAATTAATAAATAAATTAAAATAATAAATTAATAATAAATTCAATTGTGCCTTTCTGACAAAACCTCTGGCCCCAGCCAGGCCCCCTCAGCAAAACTGGTGTAACCTCCACTGTTCACAAGATATACCACAAATGATTTTTATGCCATGAGGACTTTGCTTAAAACTTTTGCATTAAGTGTCGGCGTCAACCCTGTTAGTCTGTTAGCACTATAGGTGATCTTAATCTGAAACGCCCTGGAGGAATGCTGCAGGTCTTTAACTCTTTAGTATCTAATGTCCGATTACATTTTGTTCATCTGTTTTTCATCCATCCATCCATCCATTTTCTTTACCCGTTTATTCCATTTTGGGTCACGGGGGTCACTGGTGCCCATGTCCAGCAATCACTGTGCGAGGGGCGGGGTACACCCTGTATGGGTCACAAGTCCATCACAGGGCCACATAGAGACAAACGAGACAAACAACCATTCACTCTCTCACTCACACCTAGGGACAGTTTAGAGTTACCAATCAGCCTAACATGCATGTTTTTGGACTGTGGGAGGAAACCGGAGTACCCGGAGAAAACCCACGCATGCACGGAGAGAACATGCAAACTCCACCCAGAAAGGCCCCTGGACCGGAGTTTGAACCAAGGACCTGCTCGCTGAGAGGCAGCAGCTCTACCAGTTGCGCCACCGTGCTGCCCATCTGTTTTTCAGTTTTTGTTAAATATCAGAGGATGTAAATGACAAACACAAAAACAAGTCGGCTAAAATAAATGGTTGAGGCAGACAGGAAATATACTTTTATATTCATACGTTAGCTGTTTGTCACAAGGCTGGTTGTGTGAGCCGTTTCGGTTTCCAGCAAATAAAAACACTCACTAACATAAAAGAACAATCTCTGCAAATTGAATTGATTTCTATTCTTCTTTCTCTAAAAGTTGTTTGATCTCTTATCGTCTCACATTGTTCCAGTCACACACAACATCACCCATTTGGCCACCTTATCTGATCTGCACCAGTTAATGGAAACACAGCTGATGTACGTTTTTTATTAAACAAAGTCTGCTTTAAATTCTCTCGCAGTCCAACAGCTGTGTTGAGCTGCAGCTCTGCACCGTCCTCACATGTATGTGCATTTGCATGTTCCTGTCTGTGATTTGAGTCTCTGGCCTGCCAGACTGCTGTATTATTTTTGGGAGGGCTGCTCCTTCCCTCTGGAGGGCCTCATTGAAGAGGGCTTGCTTTCTGCATCTCCCCCCTCCTCAGGCTCTGGGAGCCTGGCCAAGCTTGGCCGAGCGGGCTGCAGCAGAAGTGGAGTCGTGGCCCGTATTCGGCCCTGCTCCCACTGCGATGCACACAGATGGCTGGACTGCTCACTGGCAACCGTGCATTACATTTTACTGGTGTCCAGCAAGTGAAGCAAGAGAATCCCTCCCCTCCAGACACTGATGCATCCATCCAGCGTTGCATCCAAGTATGCACAAACACTGTTTCAGTATAAAATAAATCCTGATCTCTTTGTGTCGCATTTTGCACCGCTCAGACCTGTGGGAAACTCCAGCAGATGTGAGCAGGGTGGAGGGTTCAGGAAGAGGTAGCTGTCCACTTTTAGCCGAGACCGTTTTAATCGGACAGTCTGAGCTTGTGGGCGTGTGAGGGCACGCTGAACTCAGCGATGATGACCCAAAATTGGCCCTAATCGAGCAGACTCATTAGTGGCTGGCTGTGTTCAGAGTTTCCCCATCCCTTTCAGTTTACTGTAATCGTCCAAATGGGAGGCAGAACGAGTGACACAGAAAGGAGGAGAGCAAAAGAAAAAAGAAAAGACAAACAGAATGCATGGAGGCTGAGACAGAGGGAGCGTGGAAGAAAAATAAACAAAAGAGGAAGAAAAAGCGGGCGAGATGAGGGAGAAACAGTCAACGCCTGCTTCCTGGCAGCCTCAGCTGCGAGCACATCTGTGTGGAGGGGTTCGAGCAGACCCCCATGTGTTTGCTCAGGTCGCCTGATTGCCTTTCCTTCCTCTTCTCTCTCCCACTAAAGACCCGCTGTCCTTCCTCTCACTCCAGCCACCACGGCCAAGAGAGAAGACCACTCTGACAGGCTGAGAGAAAAACACTCATGACTCAGGACTTTTCACATAAAGAATGTGGCTGTTCCAGACACGAGGAGGGAAAAATAAACACATTGCACAGGTTATTTAGCTTAAAAGGGTGTGAATTAGGTTTGTGCTTTTGTATGTGTAAGAGCATTGGGGGGGGGGGGGGGGGTATGTGCATATGCATGACTGTGTGTGACTCCGGAGCCCTTCGCTGGAGCCTGCTGTCTGGGCACAATGGTCCAGCCTGAGGCCGTCGCTCCACAAAGAGGCCTTCTCTTAACAACGAGCCAGCACAGATAGAGGAGGAGCCTGACCAACGCATTACCACGCTTTAGGGATCACAGAGCTTCCCTCCATGCATCTGATATCACTTATGATTTTAATGACCATGTCCTCTTTGTGAAACTGGGACCTTAAAGTAACATCAGCAAGTACAGATCCAAACTACTGACATCAAACACGATCACTGACAAACTGCTTTTTATAGTTATAAAAAGATCATCTGTAAGAATAATCAAGGCAGACTCTATTTCAGTATTAAACTTTTATTTTTCTTTTGTGAGATGGAAAATAAAAATTATAAAACCGTACAGCTCAGGGACTTTTTTTTTTATTTTTATTTTTTTTAATCCGAGACAGGTCAGTGTTTTCTTTTCATAATAACCATGAAATTGAACCCATACGTTTCCATGTGTGTCTGATGAAAGCTTTAAAGAGTGAAAATAAATTATTGTAGCAATAATTATAACATCAAATATAACAACAAGAATAGCAATTAAGCATTTATAAACACTCTATTTACCGTGTTTTCTTTTGACTTTTCTTACCAATAAAACTGTTATCCAAAACAGGTGAGCCGTGTGGTGGTGTACAATCCAGCATGTGGGGACAGTTCTGGTTCCATCGGTGCCGTTTTACAGGTTCTGTAGCTCTCAGCTCGTCAGTGACAGCTTCCAGCACGGATGAGTCTGTCTCTGTCCGTCTGTCCACAGCAGTTCTGGACAGCAGGCGGGACAGGCTGCTCGTCATGAACGTGAGGTGAAAACAGCGCTCCTTTTTCAGACCTCTCTCCTGTTAGGGCGTCAGGGAGAGGTGGGTACCAAAGTGACTTAGTAAAAAATAAAAAATAATGACAAGCGTCTCTATTCACTCCTCTCCTGTCAGCCCCAGACTCTTGGGAACAGAGTCCAGTAAAGTCCTGCTCTCTGTCATGTCCCGTCAGTGGGGTCGGGGATGGCGTGAGCCTCAGTTCAACAGGAAGCAGCCCCTCTCCTTCCACTGTACACAAGTCTGCTCAGCGTTTGGCGTGATGCGGAGGCCGTTTAGTGTTTATGGAGATGCGGTGGCTCCTACTGGCGAAGGGGTCTCTGGGTCTAAACGGACCCTCAGTGAGGTTCAGCCCAGACCGGTGACCTATTGGAGTGGTGCGGGTGACCGAACGAGGGGTGAATGGGCGTGGGAGTGGGCAGCATGTGTCCTGAGTGGCTGAACGGGGGGAGGTGACCCATGTGGGTCATGTGGCTGGTGAGGCCGGGCGCAGTGCAAAAGGGCGAGGCCTTGTCCTGCATGCACTTGGACAGCTCATCAAAGCCGTCCCCTGCCCGCTTGTTCCTCTTGGACTTGCTGGACATCTTGCGGTTGCGCGTCTGGATGCCTTCCTTCTTCATGGTCAGGGGTCTGTTGACCTGTTGAGAGCAGCACATGAGCTCAGACAAAAGCAGCACTGACCGCCTGAATACCACATTATAGCAGTTTAAGGTTGTTTTGCTGCAGAAGTATTTCACTTGTTGCACTTCCACTCATCATTTCCATGTGTTCCTGTCAGACAGCAGCCTGCGTATGGACGACTCCAGTGTAAAACAAGCGCCATAAATAACGAGCAGCTGTTTTGCATATCTTATGGCCGCATTATGAAGCGAGTCGGGGGCGTTTTTTTCAGCTTTTGTTTAATTGTCTACACCAAACAGAACGGTTCTGGTCGATATGAATTCATGGAGCTGAGGACAGGCTGGCTGTGAAAGGAGCAGCCTCAGACAAATCCTCATCAGTGTAACCGACGCCGTTACAACTGAATAACAGTCCCACCCCGCGCCCTCTCTGGGGAGTACCGCCCCCCATTCAAACAACGATGGATTAATAAAAGAGAACCGGTGGGTTCTGCTCCACAGGGGGAACAGGCTCCCGGATCGATCTGTCCGCCCACTTAACCAGTTAGCTCTCTCTGTGGTCACTTTCACTCCCAAAGCCTAAAGTCTCTGTGTGTGTTTGTGTTTCTCCACTTACATTGTGCAGTTTATAGTAAAGGCCGCAGGCGTTACACACCGGGTCTCCGTTCCCGTTGCGCCTCCACAAGGTGGTGGTGGTGGTCTGGCAGTTGGCACAGCAGGTTCCAGCACGCCGGGCAGCAGACTGAGGAAAACAGGGGAAACCACAGTTTAATCAAGGATCACTCAGTATCAATTCTGCTAATTAGGGTACATTTTAGAGATATAAACACTATGATGTTTTACTTGTGTCTTTAGGTTCCAGTTTATGGGCAGTAAAATGCATTTCCTGTAAAATTAGCTGCATTTATTCTGAGAACGATTTATTTATTTATTTATACAACAGGTACCACTTTACAATAAGACTCCCTTTATAGATGGCTAACAGTTTATAGATACGTTATTGTAGTAATTCCTCTATAAACACTTTATAAATCATTAATAATTGTTTATTATGCATGACCGTATTTTTCGGACTATAAGATGCATTAAGCAAAATAAGATCATTTTGACAGGTTTTTGAGCGCTGTGTACCACATTAAATCGGTTCGAGGTCAGTAAGCACAGCCAGAATTAATACATACGCTCTCTTTCGATTTTTGAGAAAATTCAAGGATCTTAAATGTACCTTATAGTCTGAAAAATATGGTAATTAAGAATGACAGGGAGACAAAACTGACCAGTTTGTTGCCAAATATTGAGCCAAATCTGTTCACCTATATATTTCATCTAGAGTTTATTATTATATTAAACATTTCAGATTAAGTTACTACCTTCTGAGCACAATAAGCATTTGTAAACCTATTCTTTAGCGTATAATATTGTACTTTATTACTGCATTATAGTAGCTACAACTAATATTATATAATTTTAAAAATTAGGTTTACAAATGCTTATGAGGTAGTAACGTAGAAATGTTTAATACAACAACTCTAGATGAAATGTATAAGTGAACAGATTTGACTCAGTATTTGGCAAGAAACTGGTCAGTTTTGTCTCTGTTGCTCTTAATTAATGCCTAATAAACGATTATTAATGAGTTATAAAGTGTTTATAGAGGAATTAACGTATAAACTATTAATTAGCCCTCTATAAAGAGAGTCTTATTGTAAAGTGTTACCATACAATATATTTCCCACTCAAGTTTTCAGGGAGACCTGGAGAGCTGCTCTGGTTTCCAAGTTGTGCACAAGTCGATGTCCTGCTGCACGAAGCGCCCCCGCGTCCATTGCAGATCAATTCTTTACGCATAATGAGAAACATTAAGCTGTACATGCGCACGCCCTCCGGTTCTTTCTTTTGTTTTCCACGCAGCATCCAGGTTTTCCCTTTTAATTCAATTCAGGTGGATTTGCTGCCATTGGCCTTCATGGTCGTGTTTTTTAAAATATTCAAAATTAAATATAAGTATTTAAAGCAAACAAAACGAGGCTGCGCATTAACAATTTGCCTCTGGGAACTATAAACTGCATATATCCAGGTTCTTGATACGTGCAGCCCGTTTGTTCGCGCATGCGCGGCTCCTCCAGCCGGTGTTGTGCTCGTGTCTTTAGGTACATGTCGGCGCGGCCACAGAGAATGCAGCGCGTGGCTTGAAGGCGGAAACAGCCGGGAGCCTGACTTCCTTATCTGGGCCGGCCAGATATCCGGATAGGAAACAACTGGATCCCCCCCCACACCCCCCAACACAACTCTGAAAAACACTTCAGCAGGCCGAGAGCCGGTGGAAAAATAATTATACAGAGAATATGACCATAAAGCTTAAATATTTTTAAAAAGCCCTTCACTGATCGTCTAGTTGCTCCTGACACAGACTCTGCACTAATCAGGCTTCATGAAGAGAGCTGCACCAAATGAATATTTCTGTTAAACTCCTTTTTATTGGTATTTATTTAAATTTAAAAAAATATTTGAATTGTTTTCAGTGTTTTTTTAGGTGTGTTTAAAAAAAAAGAACAGAATATGGAGAAAACATCCTCCAGACTCTTTGTTAGTAAAAGAGATCAAAAAGGATTTCTAAAAGCAAATTACTCAAATATGTCACGTTGATTAAGATGGAAACTTATGGCATCACCAGCCTGGCTGCTCTATTTGATTAACAAAAACACTTTTTAAAGAGTTCAGAACAACAAGTGCACATCATTTATCACCAATTAAAGCATGAAAAGCAAAAGTTAGCCCAGACTTAAAGCAAGCAATAACTTCTACTTTACTCCATATCCTGACATTTTGTCACAAAACTATTGTAATGTCTGTTTAAGAAACAACATCACAAATTTATTAGGAAAAAATGTAAAAAGTTGATTTATTTGTGTGTGTTTATTACAATGCAAAGTTGGTGCGAATTTATAAATAAAAAACTATTAAAACACCCAAGAATTTACTTAAATTTTGAGTCTGGACAAGTAAAGAATTTTGTGTGTAGATTCTTTATTTTTATTATAATTATTATTATTGACAGCACAGCCAAAAGCATAAAATATATTTTTCCATATATATATATATATATATATATATATATATGAAGAGGCTAAAATGTACTAATTAGATTGGAAAGATAAGATAGATGATGGATGGATATGGATCTCTAACAGTCATAGTGTGTGTCGTTGTGGCTTTATCTCCTCCAACATGGTGTTAAGTAAAGCAGCCTGGACTCTGGTATCAGTAACAGTATCAGAAGGAGCAGCAATAACGATAGGAGGAACAATGGCAATAGTAGCAGTATTGTAACGGGCCATGAAGGCGGATCATCGGGGGGCGAGAGGGACAAACAATTCCAGGAAGATCATAGGGAAAATATAACTTTCCTGGAATTGTGTTGCCGTCATCTGCTTTGTGCTCATATTTGGGTGCCTGCTCTGCGAGTGGAGCTGCAGGGGTGAAACTCACCAGTCTCCGTTTGGGCTTGATGAGGGGCCGGTTCTGGCCGTTCATCTTGTGGTAAAGTCCGCAGGCGTTGCACAGGTAGTGGCCCGTCCCATCCCGCCGCCACAGAGGGGTGGACGTGGCACCGCAGTTCACGCACTCACGACCCTCTGCATAGAGTTCAAGAGGAGGGCACAGGGAGAAATTTTATATAATTAAAAAATTCACACTCTGCCAGAGGCAGCAGCTGTCCGGCGCCAGCTTGACCCCAGATGGCACTGCAAGACGAAGAATCGGATCGTGACAATGTCCATATCAGCGTGCAGGTGAACCAAGTGTGAGCGGCTGTCATGAACATGGACACCTCCGTGTAAACCGATCCACCACAAGAACATGTCCAGAGGTGTCCAACAAGAAGAATGAGGCTCGCCATCAAATTAGGACTGCATTATTCATCGAGTGGCACCCCTGAGTGGAAATGTGTGGGTTGGTCGTATTAAATGCACCTTTGATGGAAACCTTGCATGCCTCTTGGCTGCCATTAAAGGTCTTCAGGTGACGGTGAGACCAGAGTTGAGTTGAAGCAGCACCTGAAGGAGATCTGCTCATTCTTCTCTGTGTAACTTGTTTTTATTCATTCCCATGCAGGTTTGACTTCAAACAGCCTGTTGCTGCACCGACAAGTCACTTAATTCAAAAATCCATCTGTCCCCAGAGCACCATCTCATTATTCCTGTTTTAATGCCAGCGACACCCAGAGTCCCACCCTCGCTCTACAATGGACCCGAGCACAAAGCTGGGCTCCTTTTGAAATGCATCTTTGCACCTTTTTAAGTGTTGCACAAGTCCAGGCTGACGTGAGTTTAATAATGCACTAAATATTCACCAGCAATGACTTACTTGTTGGGTCTTATGCAATGTTTAGTGTTGAAATAAAAAAAATGGGAAGGTAAAAAAGCTTTGTGCGCTAGGTGGGGAAGAATTGTGGTGTCGGACAGGAAGCCACATCACTGTAAGGTAAATGTGTTGACAGCTGAAATGTCATTGTGGCATTTTGTACAACAGTCAATCACCATTACCCGAGCAGGGCATCACGTTTGATAGATAAGAGGCTTTTCTTTTTTTTTTTTTTTTATGCCGAGGCAGATGTGTTTGTGTTGCTGGTTCAGGCACCAGTGTGACCAGCATGCTGGAAATGTCACAGCATTAACATTCGTCTATCAGAACAGATTCAGATTATCAGGCCAGCATTTCCCAGGTGGAGTTAAGAGCACGGATGACAATGTTGATAATTGCACGGCTGCATTTGGAACATCTGCAGTTGTTATTTTTCTTTAATTCAAAGCACCACAGCTGGGACAATGTAGGGAAATTACAAACTCATTACAAACCACTTTCCCTCCCATTAGAGGATTCTCTCTCAAGTTTCTCCAAGCACATTTTTACTGATCCCAAAACTTTTTGAGCAAAAAAAAATGTTTTTAAATAAATCATTGCTCAATGCTGTGCAAAAATAAATTAATTAATTAAATAAATTGAAATAGAAAAACATGCATTCTCACATAGAGAAGTGAGTTCACAGCTTTGGGCTGCGCCTGTCTGCGCGCTTAAAAACACAAACAGCAGGGCTCTGTCGCCTGCGTGCTTTGTTGGAGCTGGGGGGGGGGGGGGGGGGTCGTGATTTGTTCACTCAGAGGTATACAGGATATGGAAGGAGCCAGGGCGTCGTGACTACTTTATTCTCCAGGCGCAATAAAAAGCCACGTTTTAAACCGAGAGAAGAAAAAGTGATGGCACGAAATAAAAGAGTAAAAAGTGTTGGTTTATGGTAAAAAATAAATAAGAAAATTCTGTAAAAGTTACAACTTTTTTTTTTCAAGTGTTAGTAATAAAAAAAATAAGAAAAACAACATTTATTGTAGGAATGGAGGCTTATTTAAATCAGACAGCTGGAGTTACAGTTTTCAGAACACAAATGTTTCTTTGGGATAAAGAAGAAGAATAAGTTTTACAAACAGCTGATGAATATCCAGCACTGTGACAGACTTTTAAAACAAATGTATCCTCTGATAATCACATATCTGTCTTGAGTTTGATCTGTGAGGAGGAGGAGGAGCACTGACACTCACCTGAGCTCGACCTGGCCTTGCTTTTGCACTTGGTCGTGAAGCTGGAGCCCGAGCCCCCCAGCAGGCTGCCCGGGTGGAACAGGCTGCCGCTGTACTCGTGGGGTGTGGGCAGAGAGTAGGCCGGGTACGTGGGTATGGGGTGGTGGGTGGCCGGAGCCTGGCTGTTCATGGAGGCCAGGCCGCCTCGGAGCGGACTGCAGCTCTCCATCTTCATCCCGTCCGCCAGCGGCACCTGGTACTTGAGCGAGTCCTTCTCGTCCATCCTGTTCGAGGTGGACGTCGGGGACGTGGGGCCCGGGTCCGGGGATACGTCCTTCGGCGGGGTGGGGGGGAAGCTGTAGAGGTGCGGGCTGGAGTGGGACGCGGGGGTGAGGGAGGACACGGAGGCCGTGCCGGCGCTGCTGCTGCACGGGTACCCGGAGCCGGCGGGGTGCAGGCCCGGCTTGAAGTGGCTGACCGCCCACGCGTTGTGGTGGTGCGCCGCGGACAGGGCGGCCTTCCCGGGGTCCAACCAAGGAATCCCCGGGCTGTGGATGAGGTGTGGCCTGCAGACCTGATTCCCAGCGAGGCGAGCTGAAAATCAGTCAAACAAATACTTTTCTTTATTTAAATCATCTCCTATAAATCACCTTCTGCCTTCAAATAAAACTCACCAGTTAAATCCTCGAAATTAATCAAATCCGACATTTATTTCTGAGTAAAATATTCTGGTTGACGAAATTAAATGCAAATCTTCAATTGTTTCCCTGAACTGACAGCACGATCTGAAAGTGAGAATACAATCCGACTAAAAGTAAGAAGTGTGTCCAGGTCTGGGCAGTGCGTCTCCCCCGCGGCAGCTCTCCGACTAAAAGATTGTTATTAGTAAATTTGCGTTTTTTATTTTATATCCGGGAAGTGCCTCCCTCTCCCTGCCGAGCTCCTGCCCCAGCACAGGGGTTAAGTGACATACTTCCTTTTCCTCTTGCTGTCATTTGCTAGAAATCCTTTATTTGTTGCTGAATTACTCCAGAAAAAACAGGGCATTTTTAAACATTTTATTTTAAATAAATTATTTAGACGGATTTAACAAACAGCAGGGCATTTATTTTAATTTTATTTTAAACAAACAATTTCAAAATAAACAATAAATGCACCCTTTTTCCAGAGATGAAGTGTTAAAGAAATAATCTCGGTGTTTTGAGTTTTCACAGGAGCGCGTCTTACCGTGCGCTTGACTGTACGTGACCCTCGCGCGGGAGTTGGTGTAGTAGGGGTTCCCTTGAGAATCCAAGTGGTTCAGAAACATGTCCACCTCGTCCTGAGGCAGCAAAGGCGCCATAGGCTCCATGTAGTTGTGGCTCAGGCTGTGGTGGTGAGAGTCCGGGTGCTGGCCGTTGAGCACGGCGTGATGGTGCGCCATCCACCGAGACTGGTCCGCCGCTGCGACCTCCATGTCCTCTCTCTGAGTGTCTCTGTTTACCTCCAAGCAGACTCGATCCTCTTTAAAAATAAAAATAAAAAAGTATAGTTCCTGGACTGTAAAAGTCTGGGTTTGTTTACTTTGGAAGAAAAATCCGTAAACAGCACGCGCACGCTGTCCTGTTTTTCTCCTTCGTGATGCCTGCAAAGACAAAAGGAAAGGGTTTATTTATGACCTCGTGCACCTTTTTTCCTCCAGCTTTTTTATAATCGTATCAAATGACACGTAGAATAAACTTTTGCAAAGGCTCCTCGTGACGTAAACGCGTCACAAGCTTGCAGTTAAAAAAAAACAACAAAAAAAAACGCAGGAGTAAAGCTCGTTGGGATCTGATCTACCTGTTGCGGTTTCGATGGCAGGAACGCACCTTGGACTCCGCCGCGGCGCTGCGCTCGAGCTCAATAATGAGATGTGGCGCAGACTGACGCGCCTGGCGCCAGTAGATTCCCATATGAGGAGCGCGCGGGGCGGAGCGTCGCGCTGAGCCAATGGCTGAGCGCGCTGCCGCGTCCCCGCTCGCTCCGCTCTTTTCAATTTCCATTTCCCTGCACCGAAAAGCTAAAAGGACTTTATCAATCAGCGCGGTCATTTGTAGCAGATCTGTCCCTCGTGCCGCTCAAACGGACGGAACAATCAGATAATCCATCTCCAAAGTGTCAGATTAAAGACAGACATCTATCAGAATAGAAAAGTCAGAGGACTTCTGAATTGAAGAGAACTTGTTTAATTTCCCCTCACGTGCATGAACTCATGGGGAATATTCTGAAAGCGCATTACATATTTCATGTCCCTGGATTGGTGCGTACATTTGCACCAATTTAGGTGCTTTATTAGCTCAATAAAAATTATTTTATTTTAAGCATGTGCCCCCCCCCCCCCCCCCACACACACACACACATCTTGTTGTGTAAATAAACAGCAATTTCAGCACCTCTAAAACCAACAGGGGATTTATGACACCGAAATTGGCCCCGCATTGTTGGGAGCGCCTAATTGTCTTTAATGAGTAGCAGGACATTCCTCTTTGTTGAAACAGTGGGTTTTGTCTGTGGGGGTGGGGGGGTGGGGGTAGTTGAAGAAGTCAAACACACTTTGCATGCAAATGTAGCCCGGAGACCAGGGATGGGCGCGAGGCCTCACCCGTGAAACCCAGGGGGAAGGGACGAGGGAGGACAGTCAAGGTGTCTCCCAAACAAACATATTAAATAAAAAGTGTTTATTGTTAATGTTTGGGTCACATAAAAACACTTTGAGTATTTTAGTCAAAGAAAACGCTGCTCGTGCGCATCAGCAGGAGTTGCGTGCTTGTGTGACTGATGGGCAACAACGGGAGGTGGCCCCGAGCCTTCAGACTGTCCGCCACGCTGACGCCGACAGCTGACGTCATATAACGGGTGGGTGGGGGTGGATACATGGAGGAGGAGTTCACCTGAGCAGGTAAAATTCTCATAACTCCGTTAATGACACCGTTTATGAAGGAGCACACTGTGATCCGACGTAACGTCGTGTGTGCGTGCGCGCGTGTCTGTCAGCGCTCGTCAAATCGTTGGCACGCAGCCAGGAAGCGGAGGACTGATGAGCTCACCCCTCTGAGCTCCTCAACTTAAAATCAACAAATTAGTGTGCGTGCGTGCGCGTGAGGCAGCAGCAGTAGGCCGGTTCTGGGAATATCTGACATTCCAGCGAGGGGGAGGAGGTGGGGGCATCAGGCAGGTGAGGTGAGATCACACCAACATTCAGTCCTTCATCATGTTTCATCAGCAACACATTAGAGTCTCGGAATAATCCCAGATCTCTGGACCTGCACCCCCTCCTACACACACACACACACACACACACACAGGGGGGGGGGGGGGTGCACGGTGCTGCAGTAGATCATTGACGGGAAGGACACAGGAACGTGTGGTCAGTGCGTGTGTGTGTGTGTGTGGGGGGGCGCATGGCAGCACCACTGTTTGTTTGCATGTTTGCCAAGTGGATTACTCGGCTGGATTTAGCTCTCTGTAATTCATCCCTTCATTAATCCCGTTTCTATCTGCGCTGGAACAAAAGATGGGCGAGTCGAGGAGGGTCGGTGCGCGAGGATGAGTGGGAGGCGCTCTCTCAAGGACACACAGCGTCATTGTTTTCACCTGGAGGTGCTGTGGAGCACGAGGCGCCTCCTGCTGCAGCTCCGGCTGCTGCGGCTAATGAACAACCAGATTATCATTCCGATCCACGCTGGGATTAAATGGGATTGACTTTATCTACCTGTATGTTCCCATAGGGCACGATCATCAATCATGATCCGGAGCGGAGGTGTGTCTGCAGTGCCGGGCTCTGTGTGGTGCCGGGGGG